CTTCCCCTGGTGATGGGCCTGAACTTCACAGGTCATAGGAACCACAGGATGTCCTCCTCATTCCAGCTTCTCCATCTCCTGCTGTTGCTTCCCAAGTAGGAAATGTCCAAGCTGCCCCTCTGTCAAAGTGGCAAATTTGTGGTGAATAAATGAATATTTGAATTTAAAAATATAAGCCTCTAATTTTATGTTCTATTAATTAAAAAAAAAAAAAAAAAACCCTGAAATCAATTATGTACCCTTAGAAACTAGGAGAAGAAAGAGAAATCTAGAGCAAGCAGATAGAAGAAAATTATAAGATGTAAAGTAGAAGATAAATGAAAGAGAACCAGAAAATCAATGACATCAAAAGGTGATTTCCTGGGAAGATCAGAAACTTTGCAGACCCTTACAAAAATTCATCCAGAAAAAAGAGGGAAGGCAGAGATGACCAAAGTCAGTGTCATAATTGGTCACGAATCTACAGAAATTTAAAAACATTATATGAGAATATGAAAACATGCCATTATTGTCAAATTATGCAATTTAAATGAAATACATCAACTCTCAGAAAGAGATAAATTATTAAGTGACTCAAGAATATCTAGAAAAATTGGATGGGATTATAACAAGAAAATAATTTTAAAGTTTTTAAATAAAGCAAATAACAGAGTCAGGACATCATTGGGGATTCAATCACATATTGAAGTAGAAATGTCATCAGTATTACTCAACTGTCTGGACAAGCAAGAAGAAGAACTTCGCAACCTGTTCTATGAGGCCAATTTCACCCTTAGACCAAGCCAAATGGCCTGGCACGGAAAGGAAACTGCTAGTGTCATTTTATCACTTCCTCTTTTTCCCGAAAGTGGGACCACGGAGGATCTCCCTGGGAGAATTCCATCACCAGGGAGCCTCTGAGGCACTGCCTCCATCCTGTGGAACCTCTGGAGATAGCTCCAGCCTTCCCCTGGTTTTTGCCTCTCTGCAGTATAAGCAGGAATGGGGGTAGATTTGCTGTAAGACTGGATAAATTGTGTCACAACCTGGCCTTGATAAGACTCTTAGGTAAACGTTCTGACCCCAGTATAGTCACTCACTCTTTGATAATGAAAACATTACATACTTAAAAACTCCTCTCCCACACTCCCAGAGGGACACATGATGCCAGCTTAACCCCTCAGGACAGGACAGGGCTCCTATTGAGGGTAAATATGAGGCTACCTTCAGCTCATGCCCAGGGTCCTGTGACACCAACCAGGGATACAGCCTACAGAAACTGTAGCTGGGATGTGCAAAGGGCTGAGTCCTTCAGTGGGACAGAGTCCCTGTTGCTCCTCACTGGGCTTTCCTCTCTGGCTGGAACCCCTGCCTGGTTTTGTGGCCACCTCCCTGAGAATGAGAGATCCAGCTCATACTGGAGTTCAGCCATCTAGGAGTCCATGAGGGATGGGAAAGGCCTTGCAGCCACTAGCAAGGAGGACAGAGGCAGGGTGTGGCCTAGGACACTCTGATAGACAGTCCATGTAGTCCTCCTGAGCAAGTCCTTCTCACAGAGGACACTGACCTTCTGCAGACAGGAGAAGCACAGAGACAGGAGTGCTTCCTTTTTCACTAGGTCAGATGAAGCCCAGAAACATAGGAGGACTCTGGACAGGAGCTCAGGACACTCTCAGGTCCTGCTCCCTAGGCCACCTCAGTTTCTGAGGTGGGAGGACCACGTGGTCTATGGGTCAGTGCTTCTCCTCCCATCCTGCTGATTTGCATGTTTCCTCTCAGAGATCACAGAATTGTGAGCCAATTTAAGGGGTCCCTGGGGGAAGAGGAGTGTTCAGTTCAGACAACACCATAGACCTTCAGGCTCAAATTGTCAGTTTCCTGCTGCTCAGTGTCATAGGTAGGAAAGAGAAAGCTCAAGACCCAGAGTCCACTTCCCACATGAGTTAGTTGGAGCCTACACCAGGGTTTTGGACTTAGTTGCTTCTGTAACTTGTCTGGTATGAAGAAGTCCATGTGTCTCTATTTCTGCTAATTTTTCTCTCTTTTCATCTTTCCCAAGTGAGCATAGTGTCCAGTGGAGAAATTGTGCTCATGCAGTCTCCACGGTCCCTGGCTGCTTCCCAAGGAGAGAGGGTCACCATGACCTGCACAGCCAGCTCCAGTATAAGCACCAGCTACTTGCACTGGTACCAACAGAAGCTGGGGTCCTCTCCATGTCTACTGATCTATAGAACATCGACCATGGCCTCTGGAGTCCCAGAGTGCTTCAGTGGCAGTGGGTCTGGGACCTCCTACACACTCACCATCAGCAGCATGGAGGCTGAAGATGTTGCAACTTACTACTGTCAGTACTGGGGTAGCTCTCCACCCACATGGTGATACACACTGCAACAAAACCCCTTCAGCTCCTTGGGCCAGCTGCTTCCCCCTCAGAGCCTGGCAAGGTCTAGGGCAGTGTCTGCAACTGAACCTCCATCCTTTTCTGCAGTGGTGCTATGGTGAATTTTCCTCAAGGGTGTTTGGCTTCTGGACAACAGGAAAGTTCAGATGTGCAGCTGGGATGAGGTCCCCAGAGGGCCCAGGTTTGTGACAATCATAGAGTTTGCTAATGATGACACAGAGCTCCTGAGTGGAGCATTGATCCTGGGGAGGAAGTTCCTGGGCTTCTGAACCACTGTGCAGGGGCTTGAAGAAACATTCCTTCCAGAGTGGTTTCCTGTCAGTGAGGAGCAACTATGGAGAGACAACCCCTTCAGAAGGACCAAGCCACTCAGCACGGAGCAACCGTGCTCCCAGGGTGAAGGACTGCAGGGTGAAGCCATTATAGCCTTTTCTTTTGGGGAATGCTGAAATTCCATTTTGCATATTTCTGAAGAACGTGTTTCACTGTGGAAGTGGCCAGGACAGCCATCCAAGCAGGAGAAAGTGACAGAGCTCCCAAGTAATGACAGAATAGCTGTCCTCATTCTTTTTCTGTGATTAGTAACTAATCCTTCTTTGGGGTGATGATTCCATGATAAACGTGTGGAAAACACCTCCTGTTAAACAACCTGTGCACAGGAACAAAGTGTCTGAGGCAGAGACCTCAACCTCTGTACCCCACTCCATTTCCCTCAATTACAGGAAGCCTGCTTGACACCCTTTTTCACCTACAAGGTGTTGTGAAAATTTAAAATGTAATTGAATATTTCTAAAAATTGAAATAGAGAACACGGGCATCACAGAAAGAGAGTATATTTAGTGGAAGGTCCTGGTTAGGCATGGAGACTGAGCTCTGCAGGAAAGGCACCTCTCAGTTCTCTTTCCCTTCTAAATAAAATTAGCTCACACAGTCCAATTAACTAAAGGAAGAGCCTGGCCAGGAGTCACCTCCATGGTCTCTTCAGTGACAAAGTAAAGGGCTTTCACAAAGAGCTGTCAGTTTTGCAGGGATCCAGAAAAATACTAAATGGTAGTGAAGATTTTGCGTCTCGTAGGTTGGTAAGGATCTGCACAGCCAATCACTCTCTGTGCCCTGGACATTCTGCCTATAAAACTGAGAAGTGGAATTAAGTAGTTTCTAGAATTCTTCCCTCCCAGCTGGGAAGCATCTGGATCACACTGAGGACAGCTGTCCCTGTCCTCACAGGGCTGTGCACGTGCATTGGGTTCTCTGTCCCTGTCATTCCCAGCAATGTTGGAGGACCTATGTTTTCCCCTCACTGCTGCATTGCTGACAGCTGGCTTATTTGACACTCTCCTCCTGCTAAGGACAAGGACTCTCCATCCAGGGTTCCCCTTGCATACTCAAGTGTGGGAGGCATTGGCCCCAGCAGGCAGCCTCAACAGGCTCCTGTGAAAGGGAGAGACCTCTCTGCTGCTGACCCAGGCAACACAGGGGCTGTTCCTGGAGTCCAAGGACCTCTCTGAACCAGCCCTGGAACTGAAAGAAACAGCACACAGCATTTTCTTTGCCTACCCATGGACAAACCCAGCTGACCCCATTCCCTGTAAGAGCTGCCTCCATAGAGTCATTCAGCTTAGGTCCAGGTGGCTCTGATGTGCAGAAATGTGCACTGGTTTCCATTTAGATGCAGCACATGGCAGGTCTGAATACTTTAGGGCTGTCACTAAGCCAGGTTCAGAGGGCCATCCTTAATTTTCATGTGTGCATGAAATCCATGTATGTCTGCAGAGTTTGAAAGTACCCAAAATACTTTGCTTCCTCTAGGATTGAGTAGCAACACAGAGGCTACTCCCACTGCAGATGGAGGGCAGAGGTCGTTTGTTATTTATATCAAAGAGGGAAGTGAGAACAGGTCAGAGACAGCTTTAGTAGTGAAGTTATTTTTTCTGCAAATTTTTTCTTGACTCATATAATTTGTAATTGTATATTTCAAAGGAAAAAATGCTAACTGAAGGATATTTGATGGGGAAATCATTTGGGAGAATGAAAGAGGACATTTCTAGGTGTAACCCCTTGAGCCTTGGTGTGTCGGGTACAGGCCCTTCCAAATCTGCCCTGAGCAACTCTTGAAAATAGCAAAGGTGTGGTTCTGTCTATGTCCAAATAATGAAATTATAACACTCAAAATTCACTCTCTTACCTGACTCTGGCCTTAAAATAAGGACAGAGTCACAGGATACTGGGACACTCTACCCACACACCCTCTGAGATGGTATTTATTCCTTGTTCTCTGCACTCTCAGCTCTCTGTGATTTCCCAGCCTCATCCCTGACCAGTCCTGGCTCCCTAGTGTCCTCTTTACTGAGGAGCTGGCCTGGGGCAGAGGTGGTGTTCTGTCAGCTCCCTGGCCAGGCTGGCAGCCCACACAGCATTGTGTTATCCTGAGTCCAGGACATCTTGCAAGGTTGATCTGAGTATGCAGCTGAGGAGGAGGAGGAGTGTAACAGAGGTCTGCTCAGGGACCCTCTTCTCTAGGCCCCAGCTGAATCTGCTTTGCATATCCCTCCCCAGAGAGCCCCCACCTCTCACAGGCAATATTAATGGATCCCCAGGAGAGGAGATAGGTCAGCGGGAGGGAGAGCAGGCATTCCTGGCAAGATGAGGTCCCTATCTCAGCTCCTGTGCTTTCTGCTGCTCTTCATCTCAGGTGAGCAAAGGAAGGGGATGTGGTGCTCTGAGCCACCTTCCCATGGACATTGCCAGAGGGGACCCACTGAGCATGTGCCTGAGACAATCTTTCTCCAAAGGAATGGATTCCTCACCCTAAATGTTCCCTTACAATAGTGAAGTATGTATGCTTTGCCTGGGTTAAATTGATTGTATCCCTATATTGACCTTGAAAAGTCTTATGGGATTGCAGGTGTGAAAATGGGCACTGCCCTTACCCAGTCCCCAGCTCTCCTGGCTGTGTATCCTGGGGAAAGAGCCACCATCACCTGCACAAGCAACCCCAAGGAGAACTCCAAGTTTTCTTGGTACCAGCAGAAACCAGGCCAGGCCCCTAAACTCCTGGTGCATGGCACATCTACCCTGGCTTCAGGAGTCCCAGCATGGTTCAGTGGCAGTCATTTGGGAGCAAATTTTACCCTCACCATCAGCAACGTGGAGATAAATGATGCTGGCACTTATTACTGTGTTGAGTGGCCAGGAGATCACAGTGACACATCCCTGAACAAAAACCCTCACAGCTGCGGAGAGCAGTGACACCTCATGGTGCATGAAGCCCAGGGTCCTGAGTGTGACTGCCGCTCCTCTGAGGCACTGTGTTTGTCCTGTTATCTGCAGAAACACCTCCCAATGGTACCCAATGATACAGCACTGCTCTTCCAGAAAAAAGGTGGTGGAGCTTGGTGACATCCCTGGAGGATTCCAGGGGGAAGGTCAGACATGGAGCATGTGCTTTGACTGAGCAGCTGCCCTTCCATAGCATGTCTGCATGGAGCCATGAGAACACATCAGACATCATGACAGAAACCTTTCTCTCCTATGGGGAATCTGATTCCTGGAGGGAGACAGTCATAAATAATTATATTCATAACTAAGGGTAAATTCTAAGCTGAAGGTGCCCTTGAGAGAACCTGCAGCCTCACTCCACACAATGCAGGGTCAGGCACCAGAAAGAGGTTGAAAAGGAGAAAGGGGTCATGCCCTTCAACCAGAAGACCCCCAGTCCTCTCCTACTCAAGATGAAAACCACCTCCCAATATGCCTTTGACAGGAAGCCCATCATTAACTCATGGGTCTTGGGGGGACATTTATCCAAACCAAAGCTCAGATTAGAGGTTGTGTCCTGTGCCACCCAGAGGAGCAGAGCAGTGAGTTCAGCTTGTCTTGCTTCAGAATAATGTCTCCTCTTGTGTAAGGGACAGAAGATGAGAACCAGAGGACCTGAAATCCCAGAGTGTCTAGGTCAGAGTTTTCAGAAAACAGGAGGGTCAAGTTTGTGTCACAGAAAATTTGCTGTGAGCACTGGGTGCAGGATTCAGGAATTAGGAGCCCTGGTGTCTCATCTGCTGTGCCCTCCAGACAGCACAGGTGCAGCTGGGCCACCAGCAGGAGGTTTGTGTTCAGGCCTGCACTCCAGTGGGAGCAGCACAAGTCCCTTGGATACAGTAATGCACTCCAGCATCCTCAGCTCCTCCCTGTGGATCACCAGTGTGAAGTCTGTCCCTGACCCACTGCCACTGACTCTGCCTGAGACCTCAGAGACCTGTGTGGACACATACTAGGCCTTCTGGAGCCTGGCCTGGCTTCTGTACAGCCCATAGACATAGGTGTTTCCATCACTGTTTAGGAGGCTCTGACTGGACCTGCAGGAGATGGAGGCTGGCTGTGCAGGGGTGATGGGCAGGGAGAGGGGAGTGTGTGTCCGCACAATATGCCCACTGATCCTAAAGTAATGACATTGAAATGCAAAGTTATGTACATCATTAACCATTTTCAAGAGTTTTTTCCATGAGCTTGAATTAGTTTTTGTGTGCATTATCTTGATTCTTTCCATCAAAATGTTCAATTTCACAACAGAAGCCAGTTAGCTAAGGTCTATTTGTACTCTAAGACTCTTCCAACTTCATTTCCCTCTTTGTCTGTCTTCACCAGAGCACAGCTGTTTAGTAAGCCTCACCTGACCCATCTGGAGTGCAAGACCAGCACATCTCCACGTGGATTCCCAGGGTTCACCCTCCTCCCCTTCTCCTTTCCCATCCCTTCTGTCCTCACCAGGGATCCAGAGCAGCAGCAGCCCCAGGAGCTGAGCAGGGAGCCTAATTTTGAGAAGCTGAGCTGAGGAGTCCTGGTGAGTCAAGGCGAGTTTAGAGCTGAACTTTTAACTCAGCCTTGCAGGAAGGTCCTCCCCAGGGAAGGTGGGTGCTCTGGGGTGGAGGACCCAATGGTGTGAGTGAACACCTGTCCTGTCAGCAAGTTAACATGGCAGGTCCTCTCTTAAGAAGCTAACAGAAAAATTCTGGTTCTCTGAGTGGGAGAACGAACATGATTTACAGTTTCTTCCTATTTTTCCTTGGAGATTTCCAATTTTTATTACTTTCACAGGAATATATTAGTTTATTTTTTTAATAATGCCAAGTTTCCATAATCCTTTGGGAAATGTTACTTCTTTGTTCACATTAGTATGAACCATCAGGGCGTGATTACTTTTAGTGACATAACACACACAGAGCAAAGAGCAGACACTTAAGTGTGAACCTGAATGGATTTAAAGTACAGTCCTGATCCTTGAGGAGCTACAGGAGATACCATTTCTCCTTCTGCCTCCTGATGCCTTCTCCCATGAACAGCTTCCCAAGGTGGCTCTAGTCTGAGGTCTAGCACAACTGCTTGAGTCTTCTTGAATTTGAACTTCATGTGAAATTCAGTGTTGCCTCGTGTCCATACCTCTCTTGTTTTCTTACCATCTTGAATCCTTCCTTGCTCCCTGTGGCCTCTAGATCTGTCTGTGGTCATTTGCTGGGGTCCTACAGGGATTCCTCTGGGGATTCAGGTTTGGCTCTCTGTTTGCCCAATGGCAGCTCTTCATTTGTGCTGATTTGCCTCTATTATTAAGGTCTGTTTAGGGTTGTGGAATTCTGCTCTAACTTTCCTTTCAACATCCCTCATTCCACTGTGATTCAGTTTTCCTTGGTCACAGTGACAGTTGGCCAATGGCTTTGTGACTGTCTGCAGCGAGTCAGATTTCACTGGTTCATTTAGTGTTTTCCCCCAGTTCTCCCTTTCAGCATTTTAACTGTAATGTGTGGTGTTAGAAATCTTATCCTGTTTACTCTGACATGTTGCTGTGATATACACATGAATCATCTGGAGGGGTCTCACTCCCTGTCCACCCAACCCATATCCACCCATATGATCACCAGCTGCCTGAATGTGCTGCTACCCTCCTGTTGGGGACACTGCAGGTCCCCTGGGCTGGGTGTGGAAGGTTGGGTCCCAGAAGACAGGCCACAGACTCCCCTACTCTTACCCTAAGCTCTAGGGCTTTAAGGGATGAACTTCTCAATCTACTTTATTCCTGAGATAATTTCCAAAGAATAGAGCCATTTTTAATGATTTTAATGATTCACATTCAGTTTTCTGCTTGTTTTCTTGGTCTGTTGTGCTCAGAGAATGCACCAAGTTGCTCGTGGCAGCAGAGCTGGCTGCACCTTCCCAAGTGAGTTTAAAGCCTGTCATTGCCTCCCTGAAGGGGACGGGCTGGGCAACTTGGCGCACCACACAAATACCTATGAGCCTGGAATTGGGCTGGGTGCAGCTAGGTGCAGAGTGCTAGGGCAGCATGTGCAGGATCCGGGATCCTTCAGCAACACCTGGATGGGAAACCAGGGTTTGGGCTCAGTGCTTTCCTGTCACAGACAAACCGAACCCTAAGCACATGCCAAATTCCAATCTGGAGATGCTTGCACTCAGAGGTGTGCATAGCAATGTCTACAAACATTCTATGTAAGTAATAGGATTGACAAATCAGTCCACACATGAGATGATGGGACAAGGACCCATGCAAACACCAGGGTTTCAGAGAGGAATTGCAGGTGGGGAGAGGAGGAAACACCAGGAGAGCGGGGGTTACTCAGAAAGGCTCCTGATCCCTCAATAGCCTAGTTAAACTTATTCTGAAATAATTTTAGATGTGGAAAATTTAAAATATAAACCCAGAAGATGGGAACGAGTGGTCAGCCAGAGGGAGGTGAAGGGCTTCTGGTCTGTCCACAGCAGGGCTTCAGCCCTTACAGTCTGCTGCTTTATAAGCAGACACAGGAAGGGAGCCTGAGGCTGCAGACACAGGACTGGGCAGGAGAGGGACCTGCTGATTCCCTGAGGTGACCACTACACACTGCACCTGTGCTCTGTCCCCACACACACTCCTCCATGACTGCACACAGTCACTAGGTGCCAATCAGACATGAAACCATGGAAACAAATCCCCCCTGTTCTCCTCTTCAAGCTCCTCCATGCTCCCTTTCACAAAACCACATGTGATGATGCAAAGGGACAATCAGCATGGACACAGTGCTGCTGAGGAGTCCAGTCTGGGATTACATCCCAGTGATTTTTCCCCCCACTAATGTCATTTTTATGTTCCTGGACCTAATTTCAAATTCCTTTCATTTTTGGGGGGAGGGGGCCAGGGATTGATTGTCATATGTCTTTATTTTCCTACCATCTGTGATGTTTTTTTTTTTGTTGTTGTTGTTAGTTTGTTTGTTCTTTTCTTTCATAACCTTGTCACTTCCAAAGTGTACAGATAGGCTTTCTTTTAGAATGTCCCCTTGACCAGGTTTTTCTGTTTTGTTTTGTTTTTTTTCCCTATTGATCAGATTCATACTATATATGTTTATGGGAATGTTTCAGAAGGAATGCTTCTCCTCACCGCATCATATCAGGGGTTACAAGTGACAAGGTGACATTACTGAGGAGGATAAACAATGTGACTGTGAAGCACTCTGTGTAAGGGAGATGAGGTCAGGAAACCTACCTGGTCACAGCTTCTGTAGCATTAGGAATAGTCTTCCTATAGCTGAGCCTGTGTTTTTAAGATTCAGTTTTGTTTGAACTTGCTCTCCAATAAAGAAGAGTGAAGGAATAAATTGTTTTCACTCAAATGACAAATTATTCCATAATGGACACTAATGGCTGAAATGGAGAAAGGAACAGAAGAATGAGCTCATTAAACCATGGGGGAGTCCACTAGAGAACAGCCGTGGCTGAGTCACAGATTTGGGTAAATGAATGGACATTTCCACCACTTGGTACCTGCTGAAGTCAAATGGACAGATGGAGCAGGTACAGAGCTTCTTCCAAGGGGCTGAGGGGTGGAACTGCCCTTGGTGACACTGGGTGCACCTTATATGGAGTCACACAAGGATAACAAACCATCACTGCTGAAGAGAAATGGATGTGGCTGATGAGCAGTCCAGGGGAGGAAGTCGAGGTCACAGGCCACACAGACACAGCTCTCCCCAGTCTTCCTCTTTGGAGATACACATTTGCTTCCTTCCGTGGAGGCACCCCCCTGAGATTTAAAATATTTCATCTCCCTGAAGAATGCATAGCTCCACATATATGGAACTTGTGTCTGGAATTCTGTGGTTTTCTTTGTTTTCAATTTCTGATTTGACCATCAACAGGATTTTGCCCTTAGATTTTTAGTGACTGAAGAAACAGAGGGGAGGTGAGAGGTTCTTCTAAAATTTAAC